CTGCAATATCACTTGACCATAATTCAACGGTGAGACAACTCATATCAGCAAAACCAATGGAAAGAATATTTAGCAATTCTAATTCTTAAGGGTATGTTAGATACCAGCATGTGGGACTCCAGCCAAATAAGGCAACATGGATAATTCTATTGCCATACATCCCAAAAGAGTAGTGAAAAAGTGGAAAAATCCACAAGGAAAACTCAAAAAAAGGACACACTCATACCATCACCTGCAGCATATCATAAGGATCATTTAGTATGACATGGCAAGGGATCCTGTGGGTGACTCACAGGAATACACAATACAATAATTGAAATATATTGTCTACCTGAAGAAGAAGACGGAGGAGGAGGAGGAGGAGGAGGAAGAAAGTCAAATAAAATGAAGGAAGGAGAGAGAGAGGGAGGGAGGGAGGGAGGGAGGAAAAGCCAAGCCTTTAGTTTTACTTACCTATTTAGTGCTTTCTGGTGTTGCTTTCCTCTTTCATGTTGGTCAAAGTTTTCTTTCCCTGTGCACGAGATATTGCAAACATTGCAGTAATAGCTATCAGCTGCTCTCTCTGCCATTAGTCTGTCATATGTGAACTGGTCTGGATAGACAAAAATATAACATTAAAATTTAAAAAATAATAATTTGGGTTATCTAACTGGCAAACTAGGGTTGTTTTTTATCAGATTTTATCAGAGGTACAGTGGAGGAAGAAGAAGATTGGAATGTAAAATTACCTTGGATATTTGTCTGTACTGGTGTAAAGGCAGCTGCTGTTTGCCTGCTCGCAGGACTGTTGGTCTGAAAAGCTGCAGCTGAGTCTCCCAAATTTCGGTTCCTTCCGTGGACATCACATAAAACATTAGTTTCAAACAAATATATCAGTCATTATGTTATATCTACTTCAGAGCAGAAAATGGAAATCATAAAAGCTAACACAATATTTGAGATTATTTGAAAAGAACACTGGAGAATGACAACAACAACAACAACAACAACATTCTTCTTACCTTCTTGCTCTCAGATGTTGTCTACCTGTCAAGTGTTGGTTCAGGTTCTCCTCTCCTGTGCAAGAACTATTGCAGAGTCTGCAGTGGTAGTGCAAAGCTCCGTTGAAGATTCTTCGTTCTATTAGCTCCTCGTCTGGAAGAGAAGCTACACATTAACCCTCAAACACTGGGATGGCATGTCTGCTGTGCATGTCCAACAGCATAGCAAAGAGGAGGCATGTAGTCTTGACATTGCGCATGAGTTTGTGTGGGCTGGGCTTACTAGACGCACCAAGACAGTCATCACTCAAGGAAGACTAATGCTTGGATTTTAGGCCACATGCGAGCCACAAGTCACCCAGGTCCAAAAGGTTAACGACAAAATAATTATCATAATGTCAATGATATTAATAATAGCAGTACTGATACTAAGAACTTTCGGAAAAGAATAAAAAAGAAAAAAAATCAAAAATTCAAGAAATGTGGGAATCAGGTGAAGTTGGGTCTATTAACCCCTTGGATCTGATTGCTTCACAGCTATCACGTGGACCAAAATATGAGTATTAGGCTTATGTGAGCGGCTTCTCTGCCAGGTACATGGCTTGTAGGGCAGGCACAGACACTCATTTGCAGTGAGGAGACTCTATGCCTCCTATTTGCAATATTATATTCTCTTTTTCTACATGAGCGTTTTTAGTTTTTAGTGTCCATATTTGACGTTTGATTTGTATTATCCAAATGGTAATTGACTTTTTTGAAAAGACTCCAAATCATCTTTAGGTAGTCAATAACACAGAGCGAGAAAGATTAAAATATTTAACTTTTTCCCCCCACTACTCCATGGAGTAGGTGCTCTTCCAGTCATGGTTCACAGACATTAGATTCCACACTTACTTATTGATAATAATAATGAAAAATCAACAAATGAGTCTATTCACCTTCCCAAGCAGGTTGTGCTCTCGTGGAGTGTCTTTCCTGTCACCAAGGCTTTCAGCCCGCAGCCAGATTTCCCCATGAAAGGGTGTTCATATCAACCGCCCCTCAAGCCCAATAATGTGACAGTTACATCATTTGAATTGTTGGGGTTAACTGATTCCTTGCTCACTCTTTCTTTTTCTTTCTCTTTCTCTCCACTCACAGAGTAGGTATTAAATAAAAACAGAAAAAACATTTATAAAAAAAGGAGTACCACTTAACTGAACTCTAGACATAACACAGTCAAAACGCAAGAAGTTGCAGGGCAACCAATACAGAAGAAATCAAAATTTTGTGAAACATATGCTGTATGTAAAACTGTATATAAAACTGGATACTGCTTGTCTTGTACAAATATATACACAACTGTATGGTTTATAGAAAAGAACTGCACACACAAAATGAACTTGGCTTACCTGATATCACCTTTCCAAATTTACTGTCAGGTATGTCAACAACCCTGCACTCTTTCTCTTCTGGATGTACCTGTCGCCTAGAAGAGACAAAGGGAACAAGTGGAACAAATGTAAGTACATTAACTCATGTAATTGTGTGTAATTGCACAACAAAGCTATGAGAGGGTCTCAAAGTGAGCGACTATGGGCCTTCTCATGCATGAAAGCAACCCCTTGGCTCCTACACTGTTATTCATGAAAACTTTCACCCACTGATATTCACGAGGTAGTGCTCAGCATCAGTGGTGTGACAGTGCGACACCATCCTCTCCAAGATGCCCAGATCAACCCAGGTTAATGGTTTCCACGTGGCTGCGACAAGGGACGCCTGGACCCTTGTGTTGACGGGTGTATAGAGTGGGTGCACCTCATGAAGGGGGCCGTCAGTGGTGAGTAATGTTTAAATGTAGAAATCATTTGCAAATGTATATCATTGTACACTTATAATATAGAAGTGTGTTTGGCAAACAGTGTAATTTCTACTCTCTCTGCGGTTGTATTAGTATAAATATTGTAAGTGAACATACATCTAATTGTAACTGGGAATACAATTGTTATATACTGATTACAGGTTTGACTGCATTACAATAAATAGTGAAGTAAGGACGACACAGTGGTATCAGTCACCTTAAAGTACAAAATAATCTGAGCCTGAGAAATGGCACTTATGCTGTGATCTGATTCTCTTGTACAGAGGCTCTTGACCCAGGGTAGTGTCCCTGTCTTTGCTTTCTTTTGTTTGTTTGTTTTTTCTTTCTTTCTTTCTTTTTCTTGGATGGAGGATAGATGTAACATCTCATGGTCTATGTTCATAATCCTTTAACCAACTGGATCAGAGTAATGTCTCTCTCTCACACACCCACACCCACACAGAGAGAGGTCCTGTTATTCATCTTTTATATAGACCAGAAAAATACTATGAACAGGGAATCGGCGAATTAAGATCGACAATATCAATAGAAAAACATAATAAAAGGGGTCTAATTTGGACTGCCATCATGATATCCAGTGGTTTACTTAGGGATAGTCTAGATGTTCCTTCTGACTGCAATACTAAATTGAGTAATACATACATACATACATATTAAACAAAAGTTGATTGAAAAGAGAAATGCAATCATTTTCTGTTGTGAAACATGATGTAATCAAAATGTACAACACAGTGAAACACAGTGAAACACAGTGAAACACAGTGTAATCATTATGCACAACATGAGTTCAAAAGGGTGGCTGCTGGTGTATGGCAGAAACAGGCAGAACAAGTATCGAGCTATGCACTTTGCAAAGGTGGATGGGAGAGGATCATCACCTTTTGCATCGGACAATCTCTTCTTCATTTTAAACCCAGTTTCTTGTGAAGGAATCTAGTTCGACTGAAGTGAATGGACAAGGACTGACATGCATTCACTGTCTAAAAGAGAAGTGTGGTCTGCTTCCTTCTAGCCTCTTTTGTGCTTAAAACCTTTGTGTCCAGAGTAGAAACTGGGATGAAGGTGCCAACTACTCTATGGTACCCTAGAATACTAAGTGATACCGACTTCTGATTTCTTATGGCTACACAAACAAGTTCCATGAGAAATGTATGTATATGACCTTCCCAGTTGATGCATTATATCATTTTTCGGGCGGGGGGGTCCATGTAAGTTACTCACAGCATATGTTAGTTTTTCTGAATCTTGAAACTCCACAATGCATTTTATTTATCTACTTATTTATTTTTTTTTAGCATAAAAAGCAATCAAACAAAGATGGCAACCTCCTGAAGTACTCAGCATCAAATGTATGTTTGCCGTTTTTATTATTTTTTATCATTATCACTCTTTTGTATTATCTACCGTCAACACAAAATGCTGAAGTTATTATCCATCAATGATGTAACCAATATACCTTTAACAGCACACTTAAAATATAATATACACTTAACAGCACACTGGTACTCTACTGGAATGGCCCTGTGTCTGTGAGTGGATTGTGGACATATATTTCCCCTGTATAGTGTAGTTCTCTTTACAGCATGCATGAACAGGCAGATTTTGGTACAAATACACAAATTCTGAAATTCATGCTCTTCTTCTCTTTCTGTCTAAAATCATATTGTATCTTCAGTTCTTTGGTTCATATACATGTATAATTTTCAGAACCCTGGACAAATAAGTAAATTTTAAGAATAACCAATAATTAGATAAAAGTAATACCAAATAAAGAAATAAAAGTAATAACAAATAAAGAAATAAAAGTAATACCAAATAAAGAAATAAAAGTAATACCAAATAAACAAATAATAAATATAACAAATACATAAATCAAATTAACAACAAAATAAACAAAAATATAAAAAATAAAATGAATGAATGAGAGAAAACTAAATTAACATTACACATTTCAGGAGAAAAAGAGGACCGGGAGGGGAGCTCAAACATTGCTTCTCAGATCACTTACTTAAGCTTCTTGTGATGTTGCTCTCCTTGCAGGTGTTCTGAGACGCTGGCTGTCCCCGTGCACATGATGTTGCACACGTTGCATTCGAAGAATGTCATATTATTCAAGCATTTCTCTGATATTATTCCTCTTTTCATGGCGGCAGAAATTTCTGAAAAAGAAAATTAACATTCAAAGCAAATTTCTCGATTCACTGTGTCCATCATGGACGGGAATAATTGCAAATATGCAAATACTTTTCAAGGCAATTATTCTCTGGATTATGAAAATAAAACACTTTTTATTATGCAAATGCAAAATTTATGAACTGTCTTTATTTATGAAGGGAGAGAGAGAGAGAGAAAGAGAGAGAAAGAGAGAGAGAAAGAGAGAAAGAGAAAGAGAGAGAGAGAGAGAGAGAAGGAGAGAGAGAGAGAGAGAGAGAGAGAGAGAGAGAGAGAGAGAGAGGAGAGAGAGAGAGAGAGAGAGAAGGAGAGAAGGAGAGAAGGAGAAGAGAGAGAGAGAGAGAGAGAGAGAGAGAGAGAGAGAGAGAGAGAGAGAGAGAGAGAGAGAGAGAGAAGGAGAGAGAGAGAGAGAGGAGAGAGAGAGAGAGAGAGAGAAGGAGAGAGAGAGAGAGAGAGAGAAGGAGAGAGAGAGAGAGAGAGAGAGAGAAGGAGAGAGAGAGAGAGAGAGAAGGAGAGAGAGAGAGAGAGAGAGAGAGAGAGAGAGAGAGAGAGAGAGAGAGAGAGAGAGAGAGAGAGAGAGAGAGAGAGAGAGAGAGAGGAGAGAGAAGGAGAGAGAGAGAGAGAGAGAGAGAGAGAGAGAGAGAGAGAGAGAGAGAGAGAGAGAGAGAGAGAGAGAGAGAGAGAGAGAGAAGGAGAGAGAGAGAGAAGGAGAGAGAGAGAGAGAAGGAGAGAGAGAGAGAGAGAAGGAGAGAGAGAGAGAGAGAGAAGGAGAGAGAGAGAGAGAGAGAGAGAGAGAGAGAGAAGGAGAGAGAGAGAGAGAGAGAGAGAAGAGAGAGAGAGAGAGAGAGAGAGAGAGAGAGAGAGAGAGAGAGAGAGAGAGAGAGAGAGAGAGAGAGAGAGAGAGAGAGAGAGAGAGAGAGAGAAGGAGAGAGAGAGAAGGAGAGAGAGAGAAGGAGAGAAGGAGAGAAGAAGAGAGAGAGAGAGAGAGAGAGAGAGAGAGAGAGAGAGAGAGAGAGAGAGAGAGAGAGAGAGAGAGAGAGAGAGAGAGAGAGAGAGAACAGAGAGAGAGAGAGAGAACAGAGAGAGAGAGAGAGAACAGAGAGAGAGAGAGAGAACAGAGAGAGAGAGAGAAGGAGAGAGAGAGAGAAGGAGAGAGAGAGAGAGAGAGAGAGAGAGAGAGAGAGAGAGAGAGAGAGAGAGAGAGAGAGAGAGGAGAGAGAGAGAGAGAGAGAAGGAGAGAGAGAGAGAGAGAGAGAGAGAGAGAGAAGGAGAGAGAGAGAGAGAGAAGGAGAGAGAGAGAGAGAGAGAGAGAAGAGCGAAGGTGAGAGTCTTGAGAGAGTATCTGTGCAGAGACAAGAAGAGAGAGTAGAAGTGAATCGTTCTGTTGAAGCCGAACCTCTGCAAAGAGAGAGAGATGAGAGGAGAGAGAGGAGAGAGAAGTAGAGAGAGTTGAGAGAGGGAGAGAGCGTGAGAGAAGGAGTGGAAGAGAGAGAGAGAGAGAGAGAGAGAAGAGATGATAGAGTGACAATGTGAGAGAGAGAGTGGGTGTGTGAGAGATGCGAAAGTGAAAGAGAAGGAGAGAGTGAGTGAGAGAGAGAGAGAGAAGAGAGAAGAGAGGAGAGAGAGAGATGAGAAGAGAGGGAGAGAGAGATGGGGAGAGAGATGAGAGAGGGAGGAGAAGAGTGAGATGAGGAGGAGTGAGTGAGAGGGGATGTAGGTGAGGGAGAGGGAGGAGAGAGTGTAGAGTAGTGAGAAGGTGAGGGAGAGAGAGAGAGAGTGTAGGAGTGGGAGAGGAGAGAGTAGAGTGTAGATGAATGGAGAGGAGAGAGAGAGAGAGTGAAGGAGTGAAGGTGTGAGATGAGAGAGAGAGATGAGAGAGAGAGTGTGGTGTAGTCTGAGAGGAGAAGTGAGGGTGAGTAGGAGGGTTGTATGGTGTGGTGGAGTGAGAGTGTGTGAGTGATGGAGAGGGAGAGGAGGGTGAGGAGAGAGAAGGAGAGAGAGTGTGAGAGAGAGAGGGAGAAGAGAAGAGAGAGTGAGAGAGAGAGGAGGTGAGGGGTGATGTTGAGAGTGAGAGAGTGAGGTGTGGAGAGAGAACAGTGAGAAGAAGAGTAGAGAGTCGTATGGTGAGAGGAGAGAGAGGAGAGGAGCAGTGTGGAAGAGAGAGAAGAGAAGGAGAGTGAAGGAAGAGGATTTGAGTGAGATGAGAGAGGAGTGAGGAGTGAGAGAGAGAAGTTGAGAGGTGTGAGGAGGTTGGAGAGAGAGTGGAGATGAGTGGAGGTGTGGGTGTGAGTGTGTGAGTGGGGAGGGTGGGTTGAGGGGGTGTGTGGGTGAGAGTTCGTGATGGAAGTGTGTGAGGAGAGGAGAGGTGTGTGTGGGAGTGGTGTGCAGGGGAGAGTAAAGGAAGAGGGACGAGCTGATGTAGTGAGAGTGAGGGAGAAGCTGGTGGGAGTAGAGTGTGTAGGTGGTGAGGAGGGACGAGGGGAAGAGGAGAGTACGAGAGAGACGAGGTGAGGGAGAGGAGGTTGGAGGAGATGTAGGAGAAGAGAGAGCGTGGGAGAGGAGCGGAGTGGTGATGTGAGAGGGAGAGGATGAGGGAGTGAGAGTGGACGCGCCGAGAGAGAGAGGAGAGGAGGGAAGTGAGAGGGTGGTGAGTGTGTAGAGGAAGGGTGTGTGATAGTGGGAGAGAGGAGTGAGAGGTAGTTGGATGACAGGGGAGTCGAAGAGGGTGAACGGAAGAGCGTAGGAAGGGACTGGAGAGGAGAGGAGTGTGAAGAGGAGAGGGAGGGAGAGAGTGTAAAGAGAGGAGATAGAGTGGGAGAGGAGAGGATTGTCGTGAGGAGAGGAGTAACGGTCCGTGGAGAGTGAGGAGAAAGAGGAGAGAGAGGTGCTGTGAGGAGAGTGGTGAGTGGAGGAAGAGAGAGAGAGAGAGAGTAGGTGAGAGAAGGAGAAGGAGAGAGAGAGGGAGGAGAGTGTGAGACGTAGAAGGAGAGAGAAGAGAAGAGAGGATGAGAGAGGGAGGGAGAGAGAGAAGGAGAGAGAGGAGAGAGAGAGTGGAGAGAGATGATGTGGAGAGAGAGGAGAGGGAGAGAAGAGTAAGAGAGGAGAGATGGGAGATAGAGAGGAGAGAGAGAGGAGAGAGGCAGGAAGAGGAGGGAGATAGAGTGGAGGAGAGAGAGAGAGAGAGATGAGAGAAGAGAGGAGAGAGAGAGTGGAGGGAGGAGTAGAGAGGAGAGAGAGGAGAGAGAGTGGAGGGAGATGGAGGGAGGAGAGAGAGGAGAGTCTCTGGAGGGAAGAGAGTAGTGAGATGGTGAGAGGGAGTGAGAGGGATTGGAGAGGGGTGATGAGAGGAGGATGAGAGAGGAGAGAGAGTGGAGGAGAGAGAGGAAGTTGAGTGAGGAGGTGGAGGTGAGAGGGGAGAGAGAGGAGTGAGTGGTGAGTGAGGGGAGTTGGGAGAAGAGCGAGGGGAGAGAGAGAGGAGAGATGAGGAGGGAGGAGTAGAGGTGAGAGAGTAGTGGATAGAGAGTGAGTGTGAGAAGTGAGAGAGAGGAGAAGTGAAAAGTGAGGACGAGAGGAGAGAGAAAGGAGAGTGGTAGGAGAGCCAGTGATCAGATGAGTGTGTGGATCAGTGGATCAGGAGAGGAGGAGTGAGAGAGAGTGGAGGCGAGGGAGAGAGAGAGAACAGAGGAGTGGTGGAGAGTGAGAAAGAGAGGAGAGAAGAGAGTTAACAGAGAGGAGTAGAGGATGAGAGAGAAGGTGCAGGAGAAAGCACGAGTGAGGAGGAGAGTACGAGATAGAAGAGAGAGAGGGAGAACTGAAGAGAGAGAGTGAGAGAAACAGAGAGAGTGAGTGGAGAGATGGAGAAGAGAGACAGAGAGAGAGAGAGAGAGAGGAAGAGAGTGAGGGGGGAGAAGGAGAGAGAGGAGAGGAGTGAGAGGTGGAGAGGGTGAGGGAGAGGAGAGAGAGAGAGAGAGGAGAGAGAGAGAAGAGGAGAGAGAGAAAGAAACAGAGAGGAGAAGAGAGAAACAGCGAGGAGAGAGAGAGAGAGAGAGAGAGAGAGAGAGAGAGAGAGAGAGAGAGAGAGAAACAGAAGAGAGAGAAGAGGAGGAGAACAGAGATGAGAAGAGAGAACCAGGAGAGAGAGAGGAGAGAAGAGAGTGAGAGGGAGATGAGAGAGCGAGAGAGAGAGAGAGAGGGGAGTGAGAAGAGAGAGAGAGAAGAGAGAGAGGGGAACCAGAGAGAGAGAGAAGAGAGAGAGAAGAGAGAGGGAGAGAGAGAGAGAGAGAGAGAGAGAGGAGGGAGAGAGAGAGAGAGAGAGAGAGAACCAGAGAGGAGCGGAGAGAGTGAGAGAGAGAACAGAGAAGAGTGGAGAGGAGAGAGAACAAGAGAGGGGAGAAGAGAGAGAGAGATGAGAGAGAGCGAGAGAACAGAAGAGAGAGAGAGACGAACAGAGAGAGAGAGAGAGAGATGAGAAGAGTAGAGAGAGAGAGAGAGAGAGAGAGAGAGAGAGATGAGAGGAGCAGAGAGAGGCAGAGGGGAGAGCAGAGAGAGCAGAGAGAGAGGAGAGAGAGGAGCGATAGATAGGAGAGAGAGAGAGAGGAGGAGAGAGAAGAGAGAGAGAGAGAGCAGGAGAGAGAGAGACGGAGAGCAGAGAGAGAGCAGAGAGAGAGCAGAAGAGAGAGAGAGGAGAGAGAGAGAGAGAAGATGAGAGGAGAGAGAGATAGCAGAGAGAGAGAGAGAGAGCAGAGAGAGAGAGAGGGAGAGGAGAGATGAGGGAAGAGCGAGAGAGAAGGCTAGAGATAGAGATAGAATCACAGAGAGGAGAGAGAGAGACCTCGATAGATAGAGATACACAGCGACTAGAGAGGAGAGGAGACCATATAGGATAGATATGAGACAACGTATAGATAGGAGAGAGAAACAGATAGAGAGGCTAGAGAGAACAGAAGAGAGAGAGAGAGAGAGAGAGAGAGAGAGAGATGAGAACAGA